TTCCTGTTGTTGGTGATAAGGTCTTCATCTGGTCAATATCTATTGGTATATGTACAACCTAAATGAATTGCTTCAAATTGTAATTTAGTTTTAAGTTTTTATTGTTATCGGTTACTACCTATCCTTGCAATCCAGGGTGAGTGTTTGGCTCTATTTGAAACTCATCAACTGAAAACGTTTTAATCCCCACATTACTAAAAACTTTGGACTAGATATCAAAATAGAAATAACACACATATGCCATAAATGGACTGGTCAATAACAGGAGACTAAAAATCCTAAAAAAAAATAATATTTATACCTGTTTCACAAGCTCGTAAATATTTGAACTCAATAGTTCATTAAATGATATGCAGTTGGGCGTTTGAAGCGAAAGAAATTGGGTACAATGCTAGATGTACGTATTACTATGAATGCTTTTATATCCAACTAACTGGTCACCAACATCAATAAACGCCAGTCGTCTATTCCATTGCAAGCCATTATGCAACCCTTCATAGATATTAATTTCAAACGACAGTGGATATATGCTCACATTTATTTATTTTTTTCTATTTGTTCAAACACATAAATACTTGTACAAAGGGGCACTGAATAAATATGTGCCACAAGTCACTTTATTTGTGTGTGGGCTGTGATACTGCTTGGGTATCCAGATCGAAGTAGGTCGTTTTCTTAGGGGACCAAGCCCGGGGCCTTCGACCTAAAGGTCTGATTCCCAAGGCAGTGCAGCAACGTTAGGAGGTGCAGTCCCATGGTAGTCGGTGACCAATAATTGGTTCATACACCATTTGTTCCTTTAGGATACTGGAGCCCATGTGCACCATTGGTTTGGAATCAGGGTTCCCCAACTTCCCTATGTGGATCCTCCATATCCACCGACCCGGTTAAAGCGCCGGACATTCGCTTTTCTTTGTCTCAATTTGGTGAACAACACCGGCGCCGCGGGAAGGTAGTGAGTAGAACTTCCCTGGCAGTGGCTGTATACGCGTGGCCATGTGAGAGCATATCAAGAGGGAGAGCTGACTCTTCCCACTCTCAGTTGTACCAGGGCATTTGGGGGCGCATATATATACAGTAATGTAAGTTAAATACATTTCATTATATAATTTTTACATCAATCTTTTTTAGTGTACCAGCAATGAATGAAACGATAATGAATATGCCCATGAAACAACTAATTACTGAACCATTGTTAAATGTTGAAGAATCATGTTGTAAACATTTTCTTAGACTTTGTATAGAATCTTTTATTTTAGACCATTTAAAACATTTAGATGAATTAATCAAAACTACTGACAATATTGATGATAGTATACATTTCAAAAAGATTATTTAAAACATATATTTATACATAAACAGTATTTTTTTTTCTTGTATTAAAAACAAATCACATCCTTTCTTAAATATATGTCATATCCTACTGTTGTCTTACTCAAATACAGATACACATATGTTTTCTGTAAATTGGGCCCCGCACCTGCCATGAAAGGGATAGAGAGAGAAAACTGATGACAGTTAAGAGCTGAGATCGGCTAACCATATAATTAGGTATACAAATCATTAGCATTTATTTACAACTGTCCCTTTGCTCCAGACAAAGACAAGATATATTCCAGACCTTGACTATAAGCGGTGCAGTTCGGGTACTTTTCAATACTATGTAGTATGTTTATCAAAATATAGATAAATTGGGACATGTCATGAGCATGTGTTTATTACTACCAAAATGAATATCTAAAGAGGTACACATCAAACCGTTTGATTTTAGATGAATAACTACGGTGATGTCTCAAGGGTTAAGAAGGAGGGACTAATTACACGAAATTTGACTAACTTACATATGATAACTTTTCAAAATCTTGTAGGTCTATATTAATCTAGCCAGTTACTTTCAGAGATTACTTAAAAGATTTCTTCCGAGATAAATATGTGAAAGGAATCTATATACGTAAAGTGAAATGTAATTTTCTAGTAGTTTACCAATAAATGCAATGAATCTTGTTTTTTTTTAACCAATAAAATCAAACTATCGAAATACTTCAGTTAAAATTGTACTGATAGATAAATTTATTAATGTCGTTTCAATTGACACGAAGCTCTTCAGCTAACCAATTACTTATGATTTCTAACAACAGCACAGCAGCTTAGTGGAATTTGCGTCGTAATTTGAAGGGATAAGTATTGTGTTTGAATCATGGTCTAGAGATCAACAAATGGGATTCAAGTACAAATCCAAATATTAAGGAAAACACATCTCAAATTCCACAGCTAACCACACTCCCAGAAATATAATTGTAATTCTAACTATAGGCAATACAAAGGTTTTTACGTGGGATGGATATACATGCCAGCACAGACTGTTCAAATAAAACTGAATTTAATCCATGTGGAGATACAAGTCCTTATTAACTTGGAAATGTTTATTACTGACGTTCATCACTGAAGTGACTGATTGCAACTGATATCCACGACTAAACTCGACCATAATAATGACGACTGGTAACCCGTTTTTGATTTATTTAAAGCTGACAAAATTTGAACATACATTGTGTAAAACTGCACAAATGATTTTAACAACTGTTAATTATTCGTATGAAAAACCCAAACAGTATATCCAGCGAACAATTAGTCCAATAAATTTGGGAAGATGTTTAAAGGATAGTTCAGTTAGTTTTTTACTCAAGTCTTCCTAAGGGTGATACAAATATAACTTGATAAATTTACTGACCACTCACAAGTGATAATGCATTTACAGAAAGTCCACACACCCAAACCGAATTCATTTATTACCATTAAAGCAATCAGGACAGCAAAACGTCAAAACCAATACCTTATTCAGATCACTTGGCGAAATGTCGGAAGTCACGGACGACAGAGTACCAAAATAACGTTTAAGTTTTATGAATTATACATCAAAGTCTACTCAAAATACTCCGTATCCGTCGGCCGGACACTATCGGCAACCTACCGTGGGAGAGAACAAATCAGATCCCAGTGGAGGAAGAAGCGCTGGAAGTGGATATGACACACTGAGTAAAATACCGAACTGCGTCACAAGACAAGCCCTTACATGGAACCCTCAAGGCCAAAGGAGGAGAGGAAGACCAAAGAACACTTTACGCCAGGAAAAGGAGATAGACATGAGAAAAAAGAACAATAATTGGACGGACCTAGAAAAGAAGGCCCAAGACAGAGTGCGCTGGAGAATGCTGGTCGGCGACCCATTTCCCATTAGGAGTAACAGGCGTGATTATGTAACAGGACCACGCACTAAAAACAGTACCTTACGAAATAGAGATAACATTGCGAAGAAACAAAGCAAAAGAGAACATGGTCTTAAAATCGGATAAATATACAATGACGATTGATCATATAAGGTAAAATCCGTATAACAATAGAGCGGACTTCTTGCAGCTGGGTGGGTCCTTCCTAAATTTATGGAGGGATTTCTCCAAGATCCCAAGCATTATCTGTAACAAACTATAGAATGTTGTTGAGCCCGCAAATGTCAGCCCAATGAAGAGATATCTTTCATAATAATCAACCGTATTATAAAATCATTGCGTCTATGCTTATCCAGCCCCTTCCGGCATGAGCAAATGTGGAAAAGGTTGGGACGACACCCGTAAGCCACCGATAAGTTTACTTATACTTAGCCAACGTACCGGTCACATGATCTTATCAATTTACTTAGTAATCAGCAACGTAGCGCACTTTTTCCTTAGGCAATTACGACGGAGCAATGGTCACACCAGGGCATCTTAATCTCGTCAGCCATTAAGCAATCAGTGATACTTATTCGCATTCGAAGCTTAATATCGATATTTTTAGCTACCCAATCGACCTAACCAGCATAGTAAACATTAAGGCAAGAGTCTCATACAACGTCGTATAGTCATTTTACGGTGTAAGAACAGTAGCTTGAGAACAGAAAACCAACAAATTCACGACTGCTTTGTGAATGGTCGAGTTACCTATCAATATATTTTATTTTTTATTTAAACATATAAATATTGGTACAAAGGGGCACCAAATATATATACGACACACTTTTGTGTAGGCTGAGATACTGCCCGGGTGCCCAGACCGAAGCAGGTGGTTTTCTGAAGGGGCCACATCCCGAGCCTTCGACCTAAAGGTCTAACCCACAAGGCAGTGGAGCATCGTAAGGAAATGCAGTCCCATGGAAGCCGGTGACCAAGAAACCGGTTCATACGCCATTTGTTCCTTCAGGATACTGGAGCCCATGTGCACCAACGATTTGGGATCCGGTTATAGCGCCGGACGTTCGCTTTTCGTCCCCTCATTTTCGTAAGCTACACCCCGCCACGAGAAGGCAATGAGCACGACTCCTCCGGCAGAGGCTATTTACGCGTGGCCGTGTATTTCGGGAGGGAGGTTGAACCCACCCCACTCTCTGCATCTAACCGTACACACAGTGCCAGGGAAACTAGTGTCATTCAAAAGGACGAACCTTGGAGAACCACGACGCTATAACTGGACAACCAACTAGCCACAAATTCAATAGGAACCGAGGTTGCTTATAAAATGGTAAGCGTCATTCGTCCGCGGTACGCAGCCAAATACAATTATTAGGACTTGGATATTTTTGCAACTTAGTCATCAAGCAAAATCGAAGCACGTTTAAGTTAGTTGTCAAGTTTGCGTTTAAGACAACTTTGCATACCTTAAAAACTTGTTCACTCTTACTAGGTAATTGGGAAAGAGCACTTAAGCATAAATCTAACTTGTTTCCACGAATACCTGCGAAATAAATTCCTATCCGTGTACTGATAATTTACTCAGTTAACAAACGGCGGTTCTCATCATAAATAACCCGAAAACTAGTATATCAGTTCATAGTCGTACGTCCTATTGAAGCTGACATGGCTGCCGTTTCTCGAAATTTCTGCAATAGATCGTTCTGACTACCCGGGTAGTTAGCCGACTACATATTTCACTACGCAACAACTGGTACGAGAACGTCATTTAGCAAATCAATAACACAAGCTAAGTTTAAGACTTTTATTTAACAAACTGCTGCATTTATGCAATTTATATTTGAAAACCAAGCCACACATGGAAGTATAATTCCTCGATTTTGTAGTCAATCTGTAAAGAAAAAACAGTTGTGTAACATTGTTATTTCAGACTCATTAAACCAGCTAATAATTAACCGACACTTTTACGGGCATCAAAATTCATCATAATACTAACCTGATCTTTACATGATGAGCTCTAAATGGCAACCTCCCGCTATGAATAAATTTTCTCAGTAAATTTACACGGCATTGTATGGACCATTATTGTACTGAGACCTCACGACTCCGTTGTCAATCTGAAAGGCAAAAAAAGCATTGACAATACTTTGCAAATTTCAGACTCATTAAATCAGCTAAAATTCAACCGACATATGTACGTACATAAACAATCATCACGGAACTAACCTGGTCGTCACGCAGATAAGCTTCAACCGGCAGTCTTCAATTTCTGCGAACTGGGGGAATCTTTACAGGACTTTGTGTGGACCCTTGTTGTGCTGGGACATCAAGAAAACACATACAACGCCCACAAGTATCACAGCAGACATCAACTTGTTATTAACATTGCGAATTTTTCCATTAGCCTCTGACGTTGTAGATTGACTAAGTAACTACCTAAGAAGACAATTGGTTTTCATTTAACTCAGAGACATTTTAAATCATGTTATCATAGGATTGACAGATTGTGAAGTTACATCATGTGACCAACGAATTCCATTACTTACCATTCGGACATAGTCTACCTGCAAAATGAACAAAAGTAATAAGTCAATTAGCTGAGAATTACATGAAACAAAACACTACAGATATCCTCAGACATCTCCAAATCAACGTAGCGCATTTTCACACGGTGGGTTCTAACCGTGCTGTGGAAAAACCACTGAAAATTACGCTCTGACATCGGAGAATTTTCATCACTACAAACGACCTGACACAACCAGGAGACACCTACCGTCATTCCCGCGCAACTGCGTCATGCTGCACGCCACAACAAACAGGTACATATATACAGTTTACACAATGTACACAAACAAAAACAAGGAATTGTATACGACTGAATGTTCAATATAATAACTTCCGAATAGGTATAGTCAAAATCAAGTGCTGACCATGAATATCAGCTCCCATATCACTAAAAATATATATTCAAATTATTTTTTGGTGGAGAGCGTCATCAGAGGAGTAATGTTCATGCAATAGGACAATGTTGAATTCGTTAAATGGGACTGACGTAGAGTGTGCATTGAAGCTAAAATATTAATGACTTAAAAATCACCCATGTCGTTAAGACTTTGCAGGGTTGGAATTCCCAAACTCTCCATATAACCTTATATCTACGGTTGCTTAAGACATCCGTTTCAACTCCAGATAAACTACACAAGACAAATATTTTCCTATTTATGTTAAATCAGCGTCCTTAATACACTGAAGTCTAATATCTCATAGATTGTGTGACTTTCAAACCCTATGACTCGTCGTGACCAATTATAAAATGACGATGTCATTGGTTTGCTCAAATATTGGTATTTTGTTTGAAATCCTAATGGAAGTGTATCTGCAGTTTAAGAAATTCAGGGTTAGAAACAATTTTAGTCCTTGTTTGAAGTACGATATTAGTGTGCTCGTATTTATACATAACGTTCAAAGAACTTTAAGTCCGTTAATTTTTGTTTTTAAATAAGTCTCTATAAAAGTATATTTGTTGGTCCTTGCCATTTTAAATTCAACTTCTGTTGAGATATTTACTGAATTTTATAGATTCCGAGATCAGAATTGACTGTATAAACAAATTTTGATTTTTCTACAAAAGGTGACCAAGTGATGGTGAAGTCGTAAGTAAATCCGAAAAATCAATAGCTCTGCAAGTCTCCGACATTTGATACTGTCGTCATTACTTTTACTTGACTCACCTGGATGAGATCTCTCGGTTATGCACTGACACCAAATTATGTGTGGGTACGCCGTGCTACACATCTCTAAAGGTCTTGTCAATCCCTGTACACTTGCGGCATCTTAGTGGTGAACCCGAAGTGATCTGGTACACCAATTCTCAAACCATGAGTCTGTTTCTTGCTAAACTTTATATATAACGTTTTTCGTTTTCATTCTTACATATTGCGGTATTTTTTAATATGTTCGGGCATATCTTTTTCCTCACTCATTGCTATACTTTATAATCATCATGACCAAGCACTCCTATGTTACTTAAGATCGAGACTCTTACGCAACAATCATTTCCGCTAGTGCAATTCTGGCCCAACAATATCGAAGCCTACATAGAAGCTGACGTTCACGAGTATGATGTCTGAGACACACATGCAAAGTTCCTCGCAGTGGTGAAAGCATTACCGCATGATTTCTACAGGTAAATCCCATCTACTATGTTTACTAATGATGTATCGAAACTCTAAGAAATCATAATCAGTACGGAAAGTCTCGAAATTGCAGAACACCATGCAATTCTCCGTCCTCCAAACCGACCGACAGTAAAAACTCTACAGGAAACTTCTCAACTGGCACTCGTTGACGGCAACCGTAGCCGGCAAGTATAGCCGTCTGTTATACATCACTGACATGAAAAAATTTGCTGACTCGTCGATAATGATGCACAAATTAGCGTTTTCCTTGAAAGGTCTGACAACCGACTGCAGGAAGCAGTTTTCAAATTACAGGCGGCAAATGGGAAACCAATCGCCACATATAGTAAGCGATATTTTTATCTTAACATAGGTTTACGCAAACTCATTCAATTGAATCTTTGTTGTTACAAATGTTTCCATGCCAATCGCTGGTATGAATCTGCTACAGCATCATAATCTATGCATCGACATGCGCAAATGAACAGAAAATACTATCTTATCTGTTTGTGTACTTCTTATTCCGGTTTAAGAGTATCCTCAATCACATTAAGGCACATGATTGACACGTAGTATCAACAAATACCCCGTGAGTACCCTGAGATATACCAAACGCAGTCGAAATTGCCGTGTGCAAACAGCACTGTTATACATTCCGTCACGGCTATAAGACCACCTAAATTCTAGAAAGCGCACCGACAAGCTCCTGGAAGGCTGAGGTTTGCTAAAAACAAATTCGACCACATGATAGACTTAGTAATCATTCGGCCATCAAACAGCACATCGGGATCTCCCTTGCACATGTCCCCTAAAAAAGGACAGCAACGACTGGCGTCCAACTGATAACTATCGGCTATTGAATGCGAAAACCTTTTCTGATCATTGTCCATTGCCTCACTTTCACGACTTGGCAGCTACTTTGAAAGGTACAACTATTTTCTTGAGGTTCGACTCAATTAAACCGTATGATCGAATTCCCATATCGCCTGACGACATTCCTAAAACCGCTATCATCATAGCATTCGGTCTCTACGAGTTTTGCGCATGTCCTTCGGCTTAAGAAATGCTACCCAAACCTTCCAAATGTTAATGGATGACGTTTTTTTGAGGTTTCAACTTTGTGCATGCGCACGTTGATTGCAAGTCTGGACCGAGAATCTTTTCCCAAGCATTTGGACCTTGTCTAACTGTAAACACTCAAAAATGTCAAATCGTAACCGACTCTAAATTTTCTTGGGAATACTATTGATGCTAAAGTCATCCGACCTCTAAAAAACAAAGTGGCGGCCATTCTGGACTACCCAGGACCGACAATAATCAAGCAACTACTCAGGAATAAACTCCTGGTAAGTCTTTTATCAACGATTCATACCCGATTGCGCGTCTCTTACGAAACCTTTAACCGACCAACTCCGTGGAGATATGAAACTCATCAATTTGGACGGCATCGCGAATAAAGCACTCTCGACTTTAAAGAAAATTATTGAAAAACAATTATGTTCGCACATCAGAATATTAAGGCACTCATTAGTATCACAGTATATCTATACAACACAAGAATTGGAGGAGTTCTACAAAGATGCGCAAATAAAAAGTTGCAACCTTCAGTATTCTTCTCGAGATGGTTACAGTACACAGTTCCTAGGTTTAGCGTTTTCGGTTGGGAACTCCTTGACATGTGTTGTGCTGCATGGCACTTTCATCACTTATGGGATGGCCGAGAATTTACTACTTTCTAAAAGTACTCCCCATGAGATTCTCGACAAGTGGACTTCATTTCTCAGTTTACTTCAGATAAACGATACATTTCTCGGGCAAATGATGTGGTTGTAGATGCCTTGTTTCGTAAACTGTTTGACACAGTTTCTGAGAAATCGATCTTTTCAAACTCTCCCAGCTTCAAAAAGATGACACTGATTTTAAGCACGAATTATCTTGGACAAACCTGAAGCTGTTTATCAAACAGACGGGAATATGTAGAAAACTTTGCTACGTGACGCCCCCAAATTCCCTGGAACGGCCGAGAGTGGGGAAAGTCCGCTCGCTCTCTCGAAATGCTGTCACATGGCCACGCGTATATAGTCTCTGCCAGAGAAGTCCTACTCACTGCCTTTTCGCATCACGGGTGTTGTTTACGAAAATGAGAGGACGAAAAGCGAATGTCCGGCGCTTTAACTGTATCCAAAATCAATGGTGCACATGGGCTCCAGGGTCCTGAGAGAAGAAATGGAGTATGAACCAATCGTTGGTCACCGGCTACCATGGGACTGCATCTCTTTACGATGCTCCACTGCCTTGTGAGTCAGGTCTTCAGGTCGAAGGCTCGGGGTGTGGCCCCTTCAGAAAACCACCTACTTCGGTTCGGGCACCCTGGCAGTATCACAGTCCTCACATATATCAAATAAGATTTGTGTGGCGCATATGTATTTGGTGCCTCCTTGTACCAATATCTATGTGTTAAATTAAATAATAAATGTTACGTGACACATCTACAGGTAAGGATCGTCCAATCTTGAGGAAACATAATCGACACGACGACTTCAATAAGTTGCACAAGCTTTCTCATCCAGGTGTTTGAGCCACCGCCAAGCTCATAGCAGGACGATTTTGCTGGCCTGTTATGAATAGAGGCGTGAGGGAGTGGGCACGCTACTGTGTAAGCTTCCAGAGATTTGTGGTGACTAGACACAACAAATGTCTCTAGGCTCACCCAAAACTGCCAACGCTCGTTTTGACCACGTTCATTTGGATTTGGTATGACCCTTACCAGTTTCAAATGGATACTCCTATTTCTTAACTTGTGTAGACTGTCTCACTCGATGGCCATAAACAGTACCCATCAAGGACAATACTGCTGAAACAGTGGTCCTTGCTTTCATCGGATGATGGATAGCAAGTTTGGTTGCTCTTTAACCACTAACCGTGGATATCAGTTCGAATCTGAGCTTTTCCGTCGTCTGGCCATATTACTAGGAATCTCGCAATTACGGGAGACCTCCTATTAACCACAGATTAACGGGTTGGCAGTATTATTTCGCCAACACACGTATGCCTCACTCTTAGTTACGAGTGGTCCACAGTGCACTGACGTTTTTCGACTCGTTTTACTCGGTATTCGCAATGTAGCGGAAGCTGACATTGGATAAGCTACAGAATGACACTTTGACTCCCAGAAGAATTCGTGGATCTTTCATCTCACTCAATGAATATGTATCTAAACTCCTATACGAGCAGGCCAGCGAACGCAACGCGTTCATTCAAATCTACTTCCATTCCACTGACGTCAACTGACGTTTCTGTTCAACTTACCTCACGATATTGTGCGCAATTTATCTCAATATTTTGTGTCCCTGAGTGAAAAATACAAAAACCATTTTTCTAAATCTGCTTAAATAAGTGTGTTCATTATTTTAAAAAGTCGAAAGAAACAAATTTTGCAAAACGTTTTCAAGTAGTTGCATATGATATACACTCATATCAGGTCTTATTCTCAAGTTTTGCTTTCTTACGCAAGTATGATTGTATTTTGGAGCACACCTACACTTCTTTATTTTCTAGGACGGCATGGAGAGACGAAGAACCGACAAAGATTTTTATTGCACATTTTGTGTTGCTATATT